AGCCATATATGGCTCGCGAGCCATGGGTTCCCGACCCCTGATATAATGGCTTCATTTAGAGTGAACTTATTCAAATAGAGAACTGTAATTACATTGAAGTCAGCCTCTTTACTGCATGCCTCATCCAATTCATGAAAATTTCTGTCACTTATTTTCAGTATATATCAAGATGATCATCTGGGCAATTCAACTTAGACCTATATATATATATCAACTTTCAAACTTGCAGTTATTCCAATGCATTTTACGAAATAAGTTCAATTGTGTTTTTTCCTTGTCAGATTAATTTCACTTCAAAATTGTTAGAAAAGTGAGATTTGTCTGGTTGACTTGTGGATTTTGATACGTAATTATGCATGACTATTTTGTACAATTTCTTGCACCTAATTCATATCAGAGAAAATCTTATTACCCCTAGGAAGCATCAAGGAGGGAGTTATTTAATCTCAGTTCACTAATGTTGAATTAAGTTAAGAGAAAAGGATAGTAGCAAACCATAAATGGGACTGAAAATGAACTGTCACAATATTGTTGGTCAAATACTGTATGAATATCTTCATGTCTCGGATTCTTAGTCAGAACTAGGCATAGGACAGGAATAAAAAAAGTTGTTCGCTAAATAATTTCAAGCTTGTAAGAGGAAAATTTTTCAACCAAGAATTCAGTTATTCACAGACGTGATTCAAGTTGTGTGCTTTCACAAAGTTATGACTTTAGTACCCCAATAAATATTTCTATTGAAAAAGTAAAAAAAATTAGGTTTGGTCTCTGAACCTAATTTGTTATGCCACTGTTATAGAATGTTCAACTTTTATCAAAATGATTTCATTTACTTAACCTAATTTTTTATCAAAATTGCTGATTTGAATACAAATAGCTTATAGATGCTAGTATGCATATGTAGTATTTTGAAGCATGAAAAATTTGTCTATTGTGCTAAGTAAGTTAGCTTGTTGAACATCACAGATAGTTTGATTTAGAGATCTTGCTAATAAGTTATATAGTCAATTTTAAGATAGTTTTAGTGAATGTTTGAAATAGTGTAATATCTACTGTTACACATAAGAACTCTTACCTGAAATGCTGGTTGTAGAGTAGAATGATGCAGGAAAATTCGTGGGGGAACCATATTACTTCATAGTTCTTATAAATACCAGCCAGAACAACTGACCAGGATTGACATGCAAGGTTCATCATGAACACCTGAACTCAAACAGGGGGTATTATTAGTACAGCATGTATTATATCACTCGAACTGTGCAGTAGAAATAGTTTAATGAAAAAGTACATTTCGTTTTACAAACACTTGTGCTGAACTATTAGGACACACTATAAATAAAACACACTGCTTGATATTTTTCAATAGTTAGAGAATAGAAAATTAGATGTATTTTATACTTGTGATTAAGGTTTGTCGGTCATTTTCAAATATGATTTACCGTAGTTTTTTTTACCAAGGACTGATATCAGGTATTTAAATCTCTTCTGCATCTCACAAGTTGTTATTTTTAATCAGAAATTCGTATTTATTATCTGCTGCATAAACAACATTGTTACAAAATAATTTGAATAGAAATTTCTGATAATCCTAAAAACGAACAAAGATAGATGTACGATGCTGCTCCTCATGCTGCTCCTCGTGAGACGTCCTTAATTGGACTGCTTTATCGAAGTAAAAGAAAAAGAAAAGTTTTCAATGTTTTCGCATACCACCAGAGAACTTCTAGCTATTTAAAGTCCACATACCTACATCTGTTTCAGAAAACTTGAAGATTTACATTGGAAGCTTCAATCATAATCATTAGTGATTCAAATTTAATATCTCCCAACTGCTATTTAGGATATTTTGATGCTTGTATATTATGAAAATTATGCTACAAAATTGTCAGTTTTCTCATTTTGCTAATGGTGATTGCATGTTTTTATTTTGGTATATATTTGCTGGAAATTAATTGAAATATTGTAAGTTATTAATATATTTGATGAGAAATTCTTAATATCTAAAACTATTGTCAAAATGATTTTTTCAATAATTCTTGTTGCTATCACTTTTTTTGGTGTTATAAATACAAGTTATTTATCAAACTTTCTAACATTGTTTTTTTTTGTAGTACTGAAATGTAATATGGAAAATTCAAGTCAGAAACATTGGCACACTTTGAGTTGGTCTTAATATTTTGTTTTAGTAATTTTCTGATACTTTCAGAAACTACTACTGAGTCACCACCTACTGAACTGCCAACTACTGAACCCTTAATTACTGAAGGTAAAATCTTACCTAGGAAATCTCTTTTATAATGACTAATGAAATAATATTATATACCTAAATGTTTCCGGAATCTGACACTGATGTGACTATACATCTTAATTATATTTGAGACTCCTTAATTGTTTAGTTTTTCACAATAATTTTTCCTGTAAAAAATATTTTTCAGTGTAAAAAGGGCTAATAAACTAATAAACTCAAAGATATAACTTGAAACCAGGGATGGCCATTTCCGAATACTAAACTATTCCGAATACATTCTAAAATAATGTTTTCGAATCTGGAATTCCGAATACATTCTAAAATCGAAAATAACACATTTTTGTTTAGTTTATTAAAATCCAGTAAATTAGGAAATAAGCTTCAAAAAAAATATCAGAATAAAGCCACAAACCAACAATATATGTACACAAGATAATTGATAGTTTATAGCTATCAATAAAAAATAATAGCAACTTGTGACACAGTCAGTTTATTAAAATTATTCACTTTGTACAAATGACCATATGAAAAGATAGCCAAGAAGTTGTCTGACGCTTTCTATCATTGGTACCATGATATTATGATAATAGTCAAGTCTGTTGACAAAAATACTACTTGTATTCAGATAATTGTGTATATTTTCTGAGAGTAATAAATACAGGCAACTGAAACAAGCAACAACAATCGAAAATCCATTATGCCTTTAAAAATTCTAATATTTAAGCATAGAGTATTCTACTACCTACCAGTATATTTGTATATTAATTTATGTGAACCATATTGTTATTATGTGTAACATATTGTTGTGTTTGAAATTAGAAATAAATTAGTAGAGGATAAATGACCACCACTGCCAGCCGCGCAGCCAGGATTTTCGAAATCGGAAATTCCCATTGCCGCCTGTAACACCCAAAGTGACTTGGTAAACCCACCGCGATTCCGCGCTCGTTAAAAGAGCCGTCTTTTCAGCGTATAATGATCATCCTGTTACGTAAAATATTCAATCCATGACAACTACGAGTTTCTAAAATATCTTTATATATTAATTTAATGTGTCCAACGTAACTCGCGGTTGCTTCTTCTTACGTCAAAAAAAAATTACTATTCGGTCCACGGCGATCTGTGACCTAAAAGTACGAGATAAACTGCCTGATGTATTTAATTTTAATACGTATTTTTGCAATCTTGCCTTTATCGCCATTAGAAAAATCTCCGTTAAGTGCAGAGTATAATTCATTTCATACAATGAATATAAATATAAAGTTTAGCAGTAAATTGAAAATACATATTCATCGCCGCGATTATGCCACCTGTTAAAAGAGTCGACTTTTACAACAAATAATATAACAATATATTTTTCTGTTGTGCAAAGTGATGAATTCGTGACCGATACGGGCATATTTAAAATGTCTTGCCTTATTATTAATTTAATTGTCTTCAATTTAACCTGCGGTTGCGTCGACAAAATAAAATCCTCACCACTCTTATATACCATTGCAATCCGCGGTCATAAAAATAAAAACGTGTGGTAAACTGCCCGATTAAATAATGTTTTGATCCGTATTTTGCGAATTCGGCAAATATTTAGATGTACTTGTTAACAGTGTCTCCGCTCAATCGAAATGCTGCCACTCTGATTATTTTTAGATAAAACCGTTCGAAAAATCCGTAAATCTTCTGTAACATCTCCGAGTGAAATTTATTTCATCAAAATAAAATTGATTAAATATACTTTGAAAATATTCGACGGCAATTTAAAGTAATGGATAATCAGGCAAATACCGCCCTCAATTCGTGACGATATGTTTCTAAACGCCGACCAAACATAATGTGTGCCAGAGGCACACGAAATTCTGCGATTTTCACTGCCTAGAAAAGCGTTTTTTAAATTTTCGCGGGCCTCAATAAAACTTAATTGTTTACGGTTTTATTTTCAGTATTTTAAATTGCCGCTTTTCAATCAAAAAGTTGCGTTGTCTTTAGAAACTCGCCGCCGATGAACGTATTTACCAGATTCACAATTTCGTGCGCGTACAAAAATAAAATAATTGTCTTCGTTACGTGGAACAAATTTGTGGAAAATTTTCGTTTTAGAGAAAATAACACAAACGTAAAGGCGTTTACGGCCTAAATAACACGTTACGCTGATGAGTGATGAAAACAATCACGCGCAAGTTTTTATCGAGAATGTTTTCATTCAACGAAAACGTCTTGAGAGCGGCGTCGAAAATGTGTGACGTCACACAAATATCCGATATTCTTATGAACGCTAATTCCGATATTCGAATGACGAGATATTCGAATACATTCGAATACTTTATTCGAATTGGCCATCCCTGCTTGAAACATATTCAAAATTGAATAGGGTACTAAAATTTTAAGTTCTGGTAAAATATCCCAATACTTGCAATTTAAATTTCGCAAATGTGTTAACATAAATTTACAACAAGTTATAAAGTGACCATTTACTTTTTAATCTGTGTCTACTTTCGTATATTAGTTGGGGAATGGGGATACATAGGAATTCGATAGAACTGTTATCATGGTAATTTCGCTGTAACCGATATCTAGCTAGCATTTGTAGAAAATGGTTTATTTTTTCTCATATCTTGAACCTAATCTCTCGATAATTTTGTTATTCTCTGCATTTTTCTTGATGTATATGTTTACATTTTCACTATCAGGAGATGACAATCCTCGTATAGTCGCAGTTCATGTATTATTATCCATCTTTTTTTGTTGATATTAGTTTTACAATATACCCCAGAAAGCATATTTTATTAAACTGTGTTTTGTTCTATTCACAGCTCATTAATTTTCGCAACCATTTGCATATCCTATATTTATTTAATTAAGCTTGCGTGGATCATACTAGATCGTGGTAGATTTTTTATAAAACTTAAATCCTGTATAGGTGGCAACAAAACATTTGTGTCTGTACTCATCTAAGCTCTGTTACTCTCTTTAGTATTAAGAAATATTACAACCGTCTCAGTTTCTAGGTTGAAAAAAATCTTGACTCCAGCTATGACTGCAATGGGCAAATGCCAAATGCCAAACACAGCCCTAATAGAATTCATTTCTTTTAAGTCTTAGTCTGTTGGACTAAAATCAAATATCAGTGAGTTCTAACAATCTACCGTAAGTGTCATAATACTGTTTATGCAGGGATCCATACTCTAATATTTCAAATAATACTGTATTCTCATCTAAAGTAGTGTTTTAACATTGAAGTACTATTTGTGCAAAGTGAGGTGACGTATTTATTAATTTTTTTGTTGATATGCATTTCTTCATTCAGGCTCACCAACCAATTGTACTGAAGAAGGTAATATTGTAACTAATTTTTTTTTTATAATTCAATGTATAACTCGAGTACTTAGTTTTCGTAAAGAATCTGAGCTTCAATTTCTTTTTTGCATGTGCAAGTACAATCATCTTTTATTTATGCTAATGCATGCAATTTTTCTCAAGTTGCTGAGTATGTCATTACCTCGTGGAGGCATTTAAACAGAACTTGAGTGGGTCTTGATTTTTCATTAAACATGCATGCATACCTGAATTTAACCTGGTTTAATTGATGAATCTGTTCTTTAGGATAATGATAATTGTCAACTATAGCTTTTCTGCCGGGTTTATACTCTTTGCATGAACTGTTATTGCTGCTCTTTCTCTAATTAATTTGTACCAGTGATAAAAATTTTGGGTATGATTCGATATATTTATAGTTTTTCATTTTGAATTGAACTTGGACTAATTTTCTGGGGTCGTTCTATTGGGTGACTTGGTTTATTTTCTTTTTCCTGAGGCCTGCTTATTATTTGCTTTGGACTAGAGAATACTGAAAAAGAGAGACAATTACCTAAACCTAACCATCGTTTTCATGAATTGGCATTCTCATGCCTTGAATCTGGAGTATCTGTGCTTTTATTATTATATTTGATGTGCCGCATAAACGTATTTGTGTTCGTATTCGTACATCACAGGCAAAACAATTATTGGTACCATCACATAAAGATGCATGTAGTAACTAATTAAAAAAACAAATCGCTTTGGTGCGGGTACTGTAAACTTGTCAAAGAGAAAGATTGTGTGACTGAAGAAAAAATAAATAAAATGGAAATGATAAAAATAGAGCGCATGCGCATTGGTTCTTAATCGACAGACGGAGAAAAAAGTATCACAATTTTTCTGCCTCTGTGTATTGGGTGGTAATATAGAAATACCCACCGGTAATTAGTTGTGTTGGAAATTTTCCTCTGCTTATTTTTTGTTGATTATGGTAATTTCCCTGCAATTTTACCTTCCTAAATGATGATTTCATTAAATGCCTAGAGATGGGTTGAAGAACTGATATTATTGTGGATACCCGTCCCTCGCATGTATAAAATTTGCTCAGTGCGTGCGCCCATCCAAGCCGTGTGAATAAAAAGGCTGTACAATTTCCATTGCAAAAAAATGTTGACTTATTCTGAAGTCTGTAAATATACCAGCATGTAACTTATTATTAATTTGTGATGAAACAACAACAAACTAATTATTGTATTGATCTCTGGGAAATGATTTGAAGATGTTTTTGTATTGCGGTGTTATCTCTTTTGTTTATTTATGTAGTCAACTACGTCTTTAATTTATTTTGGATAATTTAGTCTCATAGTATATGTTTGAACATCTCTACAAGTCTCTTCGATCAATTTATTGTGTAAATATGCTTGAGAGACAACACATTTGTTATATTTTGAACTATAGTTCCAAAATTATTAGAAAGAAATAATTAGATCATTAAATGGAGCTATTTGAAATTTGATGCTTTTTAGGAATAGTTTCAGTAGTTAATTTTTTACAAGTAATACTTACTGTTTATCTAGCATATTCATTGTTTCTATTTCAGAAATATCCGATAAATGCATTGCTGGGATTGTTATTATGGTAATTTCAGCTTCTGCTTCAGTTGTATTTCTTGGATTTATAGTCTTCGTACTTGTGCAGGACGGTTCTGGTAAGAATGCTATGTTTTGCAATATTATGAGCTGAACTTTTGTAGCTAATTTTTCAAATCTTTCTTTGTTGTGTTTTCAGATTTTATTAAAGATAATCTTGCAAAATGCATTGCGGGATTATGTGGAGTGATTTTGGCAATTATCTGTGCAGCAATCTTACTCAGCAAGTGCAAGTGTGAGTATTTTTAGAGGATTAGTTTTCAAGTCCTAATCTACTGATATGATTTATTGGATGAGCATTATGATTCTGATTAATGCATATATATAGACTGACCAACCTCTTTAAAATATGTATTTTCTTGCCCTAATATGAACGAATTTAAAAATCTTATAAAACTGTGGGTGTGAAGATGTGATTCTTATACTATGGGCAACAAATTTTAAAGCCTCATTACAAATCTCTCTGAGAAAAGTTGTTAGAGTTCAAACACATCGTATATTATTATACTATACTATATTACGATTTATAATTCGTCATTTACTATGTGTGCGTTGCTGTCTCTAATAGCTTGGTTAACAATGTATGTATTTTATAAAATACAGTGTTTTTTTAAATCATGCACTTTTTTTTTTAGCTTGCGAGCATTGGACTGGTGGTGACATAGCTTGTGTTGTTCTAGGATCGATTGGCACAATTGATATTGTGATATGTTGCATGATTTTGATGCCTAAATGGTTCAAGAAAGGTGATTTTTTTATGTTTATATTTTATATTTCTGAAAATATTCCTCCGTTTGTTTTTTATTTAAATTAGTTGTTGTGTTGAAACATTTAGTATATCAGCTTCTGGTTGCCAATTTAAGGCAGATAGTGCTCAAATATACTTTCAAAGTCACAACATTTTATTTTGTGTTTTTCCCCTTTTTAATCCAATGTAAATTATCTTGCCTCTTGGTGAGCATTGCATGACCACAAGCGATTGTTTCTATTTCATTTTATTATTGCAATGTCATAAATTTGCTAAAAGTAAACAGAATAAAAATCATATGTGTTGTTTGATTGTTATTGAATTGAAGTACAACCTACTATTTCCATAATTCAAAACTTCTTAATATATCTTATATAATTATATAATATCTCAACTTATACAATATTCAGAATGTTTATTGGAATCTTTCTGGCAGATCAGATTATACCAATTTCTTTACGATATTATGTAGCTTGTTATATTGCATGTAATTTTTTGACTTACGGTACATATAAAGCAGTTCACCTGATTTTATGCATATTAAACAAACCAAAGAAATCTTATACTTAAAAATTAGTAGGCCCAGTGACACAAAGTAATTTTTTCAAACAATTGCTCGCTTGAATATTATTCAACAGATAAATGAGAGTCTTACTTACCCTCCTAAAGGTTAGAACTTAGAAGTGTGTAATGTTTGCTTAATTCTAACAAGTCATACCATTGTCTAATATTTTAAAATATGAAAATTCTGAATCATTCAAGACTTACCCATTATTTTATTATCATGTCCTTAACACAAAAATATCATTCGATATCAACCGCTGTTAATTATTCAAGAATATGAATTTTTATTTCATACTATTCTCAAATTCCTGACAATACATAATTTGTAGGCATGCCCCACCCCAACACAATAATCGATTTTGAAGGGAAACAGAAAATATGGCAAATATAAATATTGCCATATTTGTTCTTAGTATACGACAACTTTTAATTTATAATTATTGATTAACATATTTCAATTTGGTTCTAAATATAAGCCAGTTTTCATTAGTAATTCGGTAATGTGGTTTTGTGGAATTGGTAGATAAGTTTGGGTTTAGTTTATTAACATATTCTTCAACTAAAATCAATCATTTTGTAAGTGAATTGTTCGCAGTAATCGAGCATTTATAGTTCTACCTGCTCTAACAGGTAAAAAGGAGAAACGTGATGTTGAAATGGACTAACGAAACAATTGATGGTATATTTTAACTGATATTTCTAACTGGCAATGAATCTGTAAAAACTGTTAAAAATCAGCCTATTTTGTGATGCAACCAACGACTTCGACAATTTTCAGCATGCATGCCTTATCTGTGTTCGCGATTACCATTCAATAACTTACTTCCTGATTTATCTTATTAGTATCATTTTATAATGAAATGACTGAAAATATTTTGAAAGGTTAAATTATGATAGGTAATCTTAAAATTAGATCAATTTTTCATTTGTATTCAAGATACAGCATCTGGATTCTAGACCGTATCTAGCAAATTCAGCAATTGGGAAATTTGATTTCCTTCATGCTCTCTGCTGTCAGTTATTGATTTTAATTAGGAACACTGCTTAAATAAGGTCTAAAACTCACACTCTCACTTCTTTTCCACATTTTTAACTTGTTGCATGTGCTCTGTCATTAACATATTGTTAACAATGTTTTTTTTAGTACCATTATGATTTACACAAGTTAAATGTTGCTTTGTAATGTGCACATTTTTTCGTATATCTAAAATGGAGAACTCCATTAATCTTTTAGTGTATTTTCAGAATTCAATAAACTATTGATATACTATTTTATTCGAAGCACACACTTAATACATTATGATATGCTTAAGTCGTTTCCTAAAACCAGTGGCAAGCACTCTTCTTTTTTGCTTTTCACTATAATGCTAGCTTATTGTATTAGCCCTGCAAAATTGGTATCATTTCAAATTCAATTTAAACTTGTTATCACCCATGAATAATCTGTCATTATTTTATTTTCAGATTACTCACGGGGAACGTCAAGCTGAAGTATCTTCATTTACTTTATATTTGAAACTAACAATAGTTAATAATGATTATTGTTAAACCACAATATACTCAATATCAGAATAGTAGAATGCATGTAGCTGAAGCTTGAGTTGTGAACTTATTTAATTTTCAAATGTACCGGTAATAGTTTGTGATTTTTTAAAACAAAAATTAAATCTTGAACTACAATGTTTGTTGTGAAATTATTATTATTTTATTGCATTATACTCATACGGAGGTCCTGTTACATGCTTTTTGAAAAAACTTTGGTAATGTTGAATTAGCCAATTCCCACCTTCGTCCTACTATTTGGACTTATAAACTGGTATATTTGATCTGCTCCAGACTCTAGTATACCTTTATTCGTATTGACTGATACAGACATTCATTCAAGTCATACAAATCTTCATGTAATTTTTAGTATCAATGGTATCTCATAACTCAGTATCATTGATGTCTCCTCTTTTTTTGAAAAAAGCTCATTGCTTTGAACAATCTCAAATAAAAAAGAAACATATAATGTTGGATATGATAAATTTTGCATGTATGAGAATAAGATTCAAATATTTTCATTGGTGATATTTATTATCATTTTTTTTTTACATTGCTCTGGGTATTTTACAGGATGTGATTTCTTTGTATCATTTTAATGTAATGGATTATTATTTGGTTTTCAATATTTTCTTTAGATTTGTTGATATTTTCTGGTATTAAGAATATTATTAATGGTAATAGTTTTGATACTCTTCCTATAATGGGTAATTGATCACAAAACTTTCACTAAAAACTGAACTCATTTTGCTTCAAGCAATGGAAATAGCTTATTTTCTTCAGACTTTTTCTCAGGATTTGTTCATATTATTTCAAATTTTCACATAGAAATACTCTGGTCTGTCGTCACCAATTCAATTCTGGTGTGTTTTGTCTTTCTTTTGTTTTTGGCCTCGCCAAACTTACAAGAAATAGGACAGTTTGCTGTCATAGAATTTTTCTATGTAAATCATAATGGTTAGATTATTACATAAATACCGACCTATTTTGTAGAGAATTATTTCTTAGTTTGGTTGTATTTTTCAATGTTTTTTCTTCAGTGCATTTTAAGCCTTTTTGTCACAGAAATGTGTATATGTATATCATATTTCCAATGTAACTGTAGTATGAATTGTAATGAAACCGATGTTTTTATTATAGGCTTTGTGTTGTCAACGATTTTTATCAGTAATATATATAACTTTAAATATTCACTTGGTATGATCATATTGTATATCAAATCCTTTCGTCAGATTATGGAATTTAAGAGGTTTAAAAATTGCGTAGTGCTTTACATTCATCATGATTCTATGTAGTTCCATAATTATTATGCATCTAGCTTGTTTAGAAGCTCCTTTTTCGTGAATGTAATTCATGCCATGACTCTTTCATCAGATGAGCACTTTGTTTATTCTGCAATTATTTTGACTTGCCTAGGACGCAATAACTAATTTTGTAATTTCAAAAAAAATTTCTTCACTGATAAGAATAAACTCATATTATACTAAATGACCTGGTTATTTATTTTTTTCTGAATTTTAGTTGTGTTGTTTAATAGGTGTAGAGGGTTGCAACATAACAAATTGTAGTTAAAGACAGCTGTAATTCAGGAAGTATTAGTGGTTGCCGGAGAATGTGTAGTAGAGTCTGTTTGAGAGCGAGGTGTTGGTTTTATTTACGCTGGGTTGCTATCGGAATTGTTGGACACTGGTTTTATATTACTGTATTTGTATTAAATACTTGATATTAATAATTATTTTATCTGACTTCAAGCTTAACAGTGGATATTCAAGTGGGTGGACCACTATACAATTATTATATCTCTGTCTAGTAGTTGTTGGATGACTTAACTTGGTTATATGCTTGATCTTCATTCTTGAACAGTTGTTGTTGCGGACATGTGTTTATTGCTTTGGGATATTACGCTTATAGAAAATATGGAATCAAATATTGTTGTAATCTTGGAATAGTTTCTGAGAGTGTTGATGTAATGTTGTCTGTTCTTTTTTTAGTGAAAGTATCCTATTCATTTGATATTCTTCTTAATATTTCTTTTCCTGAGTGTGAACCTATACCATGACTAAACTTGGTTATTGCTCATAATAGCTTTAGTCATATTATCTCCGTTGTAGTTTATGCTAATTCGAGCTAATTTTAGTAACAGTATTTCCATTGTGGTTTTTCTTCATGATTTTGGTTTCTGCAGCCATAACAAATACATTACATCTGGTATAGTTGTTTCACCTATCAGAATATACAATGGGTCCTATAATTGTCTGTTTTTCCTAATATAATTTAAAATGGAGTAAAAAGAGTTATGGTTTACTAAACATCTGCCATTATGTTACCTATAAATAATAGTCTGGTTTGTATATGGTAAATGCATCACTCACTTGAAGATTGTTATTTTTCCAATTACCAAGTGTTGGCTTTATGTTTGATATATATTTAGACAATATATGTGTGAGGATACTTTCAACATTTTATATCTATCATTTTAAATTCTCTCTCAGAATGTGATTGGAGTGGAGTACCAATTCCCTCTACATTGGAAAGAGCAGTTGGAGCACCTGCTGAATTTTATGTTTCTAACAACAACACTTTGTACAATTCTACTGTATTTACATGGAAGCTGACCACGGTATATATGTTTAATCCATAAATAATTGATAGTGTTAGAAATTTCATTATCATTGGTTTTTAATTTTCAGTCTTCTCCTGTAACCACTGTGTTAGCAGAACTGATGTATTTCAGTGGTTCTCCTGGCACATTTGTTCCAGTTAAGACTCCGGACCGCGGGGCAACTGTAAGGTAAATTATATGAAAATTTGACTATTATGGTACATTTTTATAGTTGTTAAATTTCAATTATTTCAAATCAATGAATTCATTAAAGTATATATTATATAATGAGTATAATGCAAGCAAAAAGTCAGTTTTATAAAGCTTGGATTACCAGGAATGGTAACATATTGTAATATTTTCTGAAACTTCATTTAGCCCCATTTTACTGTATTTTTAATGCACTTTCTGAAATACTCATATCTGCTAAGTAATAGATATTGTGGAAAATTTTGCATATGTCAGCTTTGCTTCTCTTGTCTTGGTCATAGTTATATTCAATTGATAGGAAAGCACTCAATGATGTATCACTCAGGAGAGCAAACATGACACAATGAAAAATATTTTAAGCTTTCTTAATACTAAATAGTATTCATCTTTTATATCTAATTTTGTAGCGTGAATTTATTGTATGTTGTCTAAATCACAAGAAGATTAATTTATAACATGAAATTCAATAAAAATAATAATTCTTGGTTGAAGTATTTGGTACTCCTGTAGTATGCGAACCAAGATGGCACCAGATCGTAGTATGTGTACCAGGATAGGGTTAGGCCATAACTTTATTCCAATTTTCCTTATTTTAGTTCTATGGACTGGCCAAGTGTCTCCTGTAGTATTTGTACCTGAAATTATGGACTAACCCTAATTAGGTACAAATACTATTTACCGGTGTCCACCATCATACTACAGGAGTACCAAATATTCAATATTTAAACTAATTTTTAGTTCAATTGCCACCTCTTCTACATCAAGTTATCACAATTTGACATTTACACCAAATATTCTGGATAACGAGAGTAATGTTACTCTTGAGCGAGAGGGCTGTTCAGCAGAAACTAAAACATCCAGTCCTACCACATTAGACTTGAGATGTGAGTGTTTTTAACTTGTTTCTTGGTTAATTTTTTTTTTCTTGAAGTCGTACATAGATGTTTAGTTCAAAAAAATATAAAATATCAAGTAGCCCTAGTGAACCGGTAATCCAAACATGAATTACTAGTAGATGTTTATTGGCAGTTCAATGTTTGTTCGCTACATACTTAATATTCACTTCTTTTACCAAAATATATCAAATTTATGAATATTTTATATTACTTTCTTTTCATTCTAAGTCTAAGGTTATTTTTGAATAAATATCCAACTGCAGATTCCAATATACCATAAATGAAGATCTGGATGTAATATTTATTTGGTATGATTACTTTTAAACATATACCGTAATAATACATTATAAATTGGCTAGGGTCACTAAGTATATGGCCTGATTACAGATAAATTTTGTAACATCTGCTTTATCCGTCAATATTAATTTATCTATCCAGATGGAGATACAGAACACTTTGGATCTAGCTTTGTTGCTGATAAAAGTAAGGTTGAATACAACACCACAGTTATTTTTTCTTGTGACCCTGCCCATTATGAACCTGCAAGCTTTACCGCTGTGTTGCTAGCGGATGCAACTTGGGAACCTTCTGATGCGCCAGTTACCTGTACTCGGAGTAAGTTGGTTTATTTTAAGATTATTTGTAAGGTTTTGCTCGGCTATCATGTTCATTGGATATTTGCGTTACTTTGTATCATTTTTATTATGTTACTTATGCAAAAGAGAGGTAGAAAGTAATAATGTTCTGCTGTTATATAGGGTAAATTACGTAATAGTAACAGTAAAGTCTTTCTCATCAGCATTAGTGCATCTGGACTGGACTGAATTAGTTAGCTAATCTCTGACTGTTAGCTATGGTGGAGGCTTTTGGTTGCGAATATTCGTTTTTGTTTAATCACCTTTATGTGATAAAGATGACCTATCTTACTATGACAGTTAAATGGAAAGTGATATCTTTGTAAATTTTTTGACAATGTCCTGCATTTGGTAGAAATTAGCTAGTCCTTGTTTAATTCAGTGTTTCCTGACCTCTGTTACCAAGGTCAAACTCAATCCAGTATGAATCAATCATTATGAATTTTCATTCATTTTATGGCATGTTAGCCGTTAGGTCCTCCACTCTCCTATATTTGTGTATACCAGTATATATCGTATTTAAAAAAGGGGAATTTGTGAATACCGGTGTATCACCTGTATGGAGATTTTTGTTTGTGATTAATTGGTAATGTTAATGCATGTACTGTGTTTTAAAAGCTTCACAATTTAGGGACCCACATGTTGGTTGAGAGACACTAAATATTTAGCTGTATTATCACAGGAATAGGGTGTATATATTGACTAATATTAACGAATGAATTACGGTAATTAGATATTTGTTAATATTGAGATTAGAAGGCAATCTGTCTAAATACCAGCGTGCATTGGTATATATTGAATTCTAAAATACTGATATATAAATTAGTCTCAAATGTATGCCTATGTACATATGCCGTATTTTCATTAAGATCTTGTGTTCAATCTTATTTATTACTAGCAACAACAACATCTATGACCACCATCATAGCCACTACTGAAGCTACAGTGACTGATACCACAACTGGTAGGAATTTCATGTCATTCGCCTTTGTTGCTTTGTTTTATTTTCTATTTATTGGAGCATATGATTTATGATGCCTACCGGTATGTGTTATGCAATTGGTGCGAAGTAATGTGGTGAATTACCGATGTAATGTGGTGAATTACCGTAATATGTGGGAATTGCATTTACATAGAGGCCTAGTCAGGGATGTTAAATTGAATTTATAATTTTAAAATAAATTTGACATTCAACTGTTCAAAATAAAATTTTGATTGTATTCAGAATAGTAGATTATTTGGTTTAGGCCATCCCTGGATGTGGGTTGAATGGCTTATTAAATTTCTATTCAAATAATGAAAAATATTGATACTTCTGCAATACTGTCTCTTTGCATTTTGTCATGCCATGTATGACTATACTGGCATGCTGGCCAGCACTACTGACTGGAATTAGGCAGGCACATGCTCCCTTTGTATCAATGATCATGCTACATAGCATATGCAAATTTTTTGTGGGATGAGTCCGATTATTCCCTAAGAGTTGTGGTTGTCGCTTTGACTTTAGTAACAGAGACCTGAATTAAACGTGCATACCATTAGCATTCTCTCTGAAACAAGTAACGTAATAATTTTTTTCTGTTATTTTCTAATAACCATTTCTATTAATATTTTTTGTTATTTAAGTTGCCTCCAACATTTTAATTTTGCATTTTATAACTAAATTAAAAGCTTGGGCTATATCAAACATACGTATCTTTGTAGGCAGAATATCAATAGGCTACAGTAATTATGCAACAGAATCTACTGTCTTTCTCATATTTTGGCTTTTCAAATAAATTTTCATGACTACATAGCTTTAAGCACCGCAGCTTCAAACACGCAAACTAGTACTGTACAGCAATCAACAGAGATAACACAAAGTAGTACTCATGGAAATGTGTCAAATAACAATGCATCACTATCGTTAGTTACATCCTTGCCCACTGCTACTGAGACAAATAGTAACACTACAGGTGATGGGAGTGCCGAGCGTCAAGGTTAGTTTGATAATATTTTTGTTATGCATGGATTTTTATTCTTTTGCATATTTACATCCCATATTTGCTGAAAAAATGTGTAATCAGTTTTGTATTTTTATATCCTTATCTAATTTTCTTGATGCTTGGATCTTGTCTTTTTTTCAGTCTCTTGCTTATCTTTTCGTCTTGTTACATAGATTGTTTACAAATGTTAATTGCATGCCCATGAATGATGAGCCGATGTATGGCGTTTGTACATTTTCTGCATGAATTATACCATCAGGTATTTTTTTTTCAATATTTACTTTTTTCCAAGCCGTTTGTTAGCTGAGAATTTCAGAATAACCTTTGCATTCGTTTACTCAACTGTTATCAATGGTACTAATAAGAATCCTCATCTGTGATATTCAAAAAGAGGTTTAGTGATTATTTCAGAGTTGACCTGCACAAATCTCTTGCATAACATCCATGCTCTGCTTCGTTTCACTTGGATTGAATTTTACTTATTGTCTTTTTTTGAGCCTTGTAATATTTGGCTCTTTTGCTTACATTACTCTGCATGCTGCTTGTTTTTTGTTCTTTTTATTTCGTTAATTGGAAATTTATTGTTCTATATTTTAGCATGTGATGTCAATTTTTTTCGTAATGCTGCACCTGTTAATTTGAACGGCATTTGTGTTGATGGTTGTTCTGTATATTTTCGCTGTAATGATGTTTCGATTGCACAAAATATAAATTTCACTAGATCTTGTGGGAGAAATGGTGCATGGAACAATACATCGTCTCCATGTTTAGTTTGTAAGTCATTAATTTGTATTGGTCATAAGTTTTAATTTGATAATTTATCTTTCGACACACTCTTAGTATGATGTTGTATTCTTTATTTCAGTTTCTAATTAAAATTTATTTAAAAAAGGAACAAGTGCTGAAAGAAAAATATTCACTTTGAATATGCATGGATTCTTTGTTAATTTCAGTTATAAAATAATTTAATCCGCAGTGCCAGTGAGTATATAAATATCTTCTGTGAAATGTATGAAATAGGATACGCAAAGATTGCTAATACGCAAAGATTGCAATGTTTGAATAATATCACTCAAAGATGTTGTCATCAAAATTATTTTCAACATTCACCTGCTTCAATAGAAAAACCCATTACATTGATACAAAAAAGGAAGTTGAAACAAGTGGGAAGCTTCCTGTGGTATATATACAACCTATTGTGTGGTATATTATAAAACGTGTAGGTTAATACCAACCATAAATGAATGACAACTGTCCAAATATTATTTTATGAGAAACCGAATAAGTATTGACTTAATTCCGAACCCGCAGCTTGTAAGATGCGCTTGAATATTATAAGTATTCACATTTCTCAAGTTAATATCTCCTTTTACTCAACCACCTTAACTCAAGTTTTATGTATTATTTTTTTTTCAATTCCCATATTCAGTTTGTCCTGGCTTAAAAGATGGAGAGCTTGCTGGTATTGCTTTCGTTATTATCTACGCTAGTATCACCTTGGTTTGGGTTTATCTTGTATTTGGTGAGTACTACAAGTATTACTCTTAGTAAATGTTCAAGAATGTAATGTCAATATAGTTTAACTGTTTAACCCTGAATGTTTTATACTGAGCATTTTGATTTTCTTTATTTCCATTCAAATACCTCAGTATTCATATTGGTCATTTGAAATAAATAAATTTAAATATTACTGGATATTGATAAGATATGTCTGTTATGAAAATTTTAATTTGGTCTTTAACAAAATTGACCAATAAGCCATATCAAAATATATCTTATTATAGACCGAAACAAGAATATCAAGATTGCAATAAAGAAGACCGTCTTGCTGGGAGTTTGTAAATTTATCTGTTGGATTATTGGGATTGGGTTATTGTTTGGGGCCACTGAAGGTAAGCTGTTTTCTACAATATATATCGTTTAATTGTTTTCTGGAAGAGCAATTAAGTAGACTTCAAAAAAGCCACAATGTTTTGAAATTCTCTTATCAATTATTTATAATGTTTTAGATTGGTGTGATCTCACTGGCGGAAATATTGCTGGAATTGTATTTGGAGTCATTGCAGTGTTATTGGGAATTCTGTATTGTTTCCTGAATCATAAACAATTTTTTGACGGTTAGTTATTCTTATCATATCAGTTTGATTTATTGTGATCAAATAAATGTAACTTATCAAATCAATTCAATCAAAATTATTTTGTATGGTTTATATGTGACAGATTTTTCTTATATTTTAACATTTGCTACTTAAAATTCAGTTTTGAAACCAAGAAATGGCTGGTGATTAAGTTCTGTACTAATATCATATGTCATTTGTTTTATTTCTATAATGAGATTTCTTATTTATTTCATTTATAGAAACGCCAATATCTGCCGGGACCAGGTATGATGTAATCTTGTGTTTAACTACCAATACTAAAACAATTAAAATTGATCCATAGTTGCTTAAACTAAATATTTGTGACTGGTCTGATTACTATTAGTAAAGTAAATATCACTATATTCTATGATTCTCAATTTTCAAATATCTTAGTTGATATGAAACAAAACAAAGTATTGAATAATTCAAGACAAAATTGAATCACGCTTCAGTAGCTTTTTTGAATATCCCTTCTCCTATGATTTATTTATAGGTCTACTGATGTAATGGTTTTGAGTTAGCTGTGTATGTTCTGATGAAAATTTTTATTCATCATACTCAATTTTTTTTTTTTTTGCAGAGTCAGTCCAGCTCCCGTTCCTCAGAATGGGGAAACTGCCCCCGAACAAATGGAAATGAATCCAGAAGATTCTCTTTAAAGCTCATTAACTCTATATGATGATTCAAATATTGTGGTTTTACTCTCATCCCAATTTGGCCTGAATATAAATTCTTTTAGCAAATTATGTATAAATTGTTATTAAAGTTCATTTTGTTATCAAAGTTCATTTTGTTATTTAATAGCATGTCTAGTGTAACTATTTCTATCTTTTATGTATTTAAAAGACTGAGATTTCCTTTTTTTTCTTCAATGATTTTAGCATTCCTGTTTAAACTGTTTTCATTTTTCATATTTCAATTTTCGAAGAAGCATTACGTGTTGTTTCCATTTTATTACAAAATTTGCAGTATATCATTGCTTAGCACCACTGAATTTTATATGTTTTTCAAGTTTGGTCCAGTTATAAAATTTCAAATGTGTATTTACATCAAACTGTAATTTCTGTAGCAAATCTTTCCCTGTAACAAACAAATCATACATCTGCTAAACATGTTCGATTATTATTTGAATTGGATTGTATTATATGATTTAGTCGGCAATAGCATTGATGTACCAGTTGGTTATAAATATGTTTACAATTCCCCGTGTATTTTGGGTAAGCAGCTTTATGAATGGTCCATTAAGTTTTAGTGCCTTTGAGAGTAATATAAATAAAACCTTTGATCGTTGTATTCTACTGTTAGAAAATTCATGGTTTTGTTATGGCCTTTTAACGTTGCGTGGCAACAAAAGCCATCATTAAAATCGGTTTTTGACTTCCACTTCCAACACTTTCAATAGTGTTTTAATGATTTACGATGTTCATTATCTTATGTACATATATCGTCAGTTCTTAATCTGCTCTTATCAACCTTTCAATAGGAAAATTAATCATTATCTTTCTCTTTGTACATTCAATATAGACAAACAATTTTCATCCTTATTAAGAAGCATTATATAGCCATATTACTGTAAGTCAGTTCGCAATTATTATGTATATCAACGATGTCCGTATAGCCATCTCGTTATTATTAACCTTGCTGCATTTTTGTATTGTATGTTACCGGTAAAAAAATCCAGTCATTGATTTGAACCTAATTATGTACAAGTCGTAATCCTCGCCCTTGGAAGAAGCATTGATGAAATCTATTATACAGCCGTATTATTGCCTGTATTCCAATGAATTTAGACCACTGTTTGTCAATTTACAATTATTATGTATTGTAGGCTATAGCATGCTTAATCATTTCCATATAGCCATCTCGTTATTATTAACCTTGCTGCTTTTTTGTATTGAGTGTTGCTGATAAAAAAAAAAATTAGACCTTGATTTGAACCCTATTATGCATGAGGTATTTGCCTCACTATTGAAAGATGATTCATTATGAACTATAAATGCTGTATTTACGTTTAAAATTTATGTATTTTGTGCTGAATTATATATATCAACTGCTGTTGCATGAATTATATATATACATATAATTATTTTGTTCTATACAGTTACATTAGCTATCCCGGTGTTAACTTTACCGTTTAAAAAAGTATTGTTTATTGCAGAAAAATAAATTTAGCGCTTGATTTGAACCTCACTGTACAAGCCATACGCCCTTTATAAGTTCCAGATGTCAAACTTTCATAAGTTCCGATGTCAAAATTATCAAAGTTATGTTTTGAGGTTTATGTTTACTGCGTTTTGTATTGATCTTCTACTTTTAAAACATTATTATGTGATATTATTCGAAATTTAAAATATTTGAAGGATTGTTAATAAATGACATAGAAGTGTACGTATGTTTTTATAACTGATTAATTAGCATACAGCTATAGGAGAGAAGACATATGGTATCATGCTCCTGTTTGCCCACGCAGCTTTATCTACTGGGAAATAACGCAATTTTAATTGCTCAATAACGCTCTTCCTGTTTGTATGAGCAATATTTATTTCTGTGATGTAGGAGTTTCTACAGCCCACTGGTTATATTTAGCAATGGGCCAATATCAAAAAGTCATGTTATGACTTGTTCCCATTTCGTATTCAACCAGATTGTTTTCAGTTTCGGTCCAAATACAAGGAGCGGCGACGTAATTGGTAGGGAGTTTTGAAAGAAGACGGTACTCATCGTTATTCCATGCTTGGTCTCGGTATTAAGGTCACGTATGTTCGAAAGTTTGATAGCATATTTGGGTCGGTTGCCAATGACGACGTACCTTTGCGTGAGAACATTGCTCCTATGTATACAAAATATTCGATCCCTCGAAATTCATCATAGATCACAACCAATGGAAGCGTGATGACAACTCTCACAGGAATCCAACACTATTATAGTTTATTGATGGCTTATATGGTTGCGTTTTGTTGCCCTATCCTAACGGTCATAGCAACTATCAAATTGAAAGTATTTCTCAAATATTGACATTTTCGTCGTGCGGTTAGGTGATAACCCAGTTTTGAAAAAGGTTGTCAATGGAGCTAAAACAACGCATGTTTGAATTGCCCAATACATGCCCAGTATTTGAGATAGCTTGAAAATCTGCTCAACCGCCTGTCGCTTGGGAATATTACGTATCACACTCGCTGCACGTAAGTAAAAATTTGTCGGTAAGTCATTCTTGTCGAACTTATTTGCATATCACAACTCGCGCGGTATCAAAAAAACTGCCAACGTATGCGCTTTCCGCCGACGATTTAGTTGAGACTCTCGGGATTCTGATTTAAATATATAGAATAGATCTTCAAAAAAGGCATGCAGCTTCAATTCGTCAAATGAGTATTAATGTCTGGCCATCAGTTAACAAAAATCTTTTGAGCTGAAACTCGCATTATATTGGCAATGTGATTTTTTGATTTCAAACCGATAGCCCATGTCAACTGCTTCCTTGTTTTGTTTCTGATTCTATTTTGCGAAACGGTTTCATTTATAGCTAGCTATAGGGAAGTACCGTGTCACGTGACAATCGTCGTTGTGTGTGATGATCAATTATTAGCTCTACACAAAGCGCATGCTGTCACTAGCGTGCGCCATACATAATTTGAGTCACAATGGTTCCAAACGTGAAGGCAGTTGATAACTCGAATGTAAACGCCACGGGTAACTATAGAATGAAGGGAATTTTCATCTATTGTGATTTCCAGTAATATTTCTCGAATTACGCGGGACCAAGCAAACATTTGCGGTATTGATTCCAAGTACAGCTTGGTCGCGGTCCTTTGTGTATTGAAAGAGGTCGTTGTGTAAGTTAATGTTTAACGAGTGCATGATCGGACTTGTACCACCCCGTGGGATATTTACGTGGCTTTAATTGGTCATGAAAAACTTTTTAACGCTTTGCAATTTTTGATAGATCTCTTCTTACCAAGGCAACCGCGGCTGTTGCATGCTCATGCTTTTCGATATCACTTTCTCGAAAAACGAACCCGGTCATCTGTTCCAAAATAGACAATCGGATTGCAAAGGTTGCATTATTCACGAATGTGTCATTAAGATTGATATTGATCATTCTTGGGAACCTACCGATTCGGCAGCACATAGAATAGACTAGGCCTACTCACTTTGCCTTCTGTATTATTGTTCACCTCATGGATATTTTCCGGCAACGCCCATAACGAAATACCTCGATATCACTACCTAGCGCGTGTAAATTTTTAATTCATTATTGTTCACCTCGTGGATAGTTTCCGGCAACGCCCATAACGAAATACCTTAATATCACTACCTAGCGGCAGTAACTTTTCATGTACTTTGCCTTGCGTTCTTGAGAAGTCAGTACCGCCCAAAAAATGTTTTCATTTTAGTTGTAGCCGGACTCGTATTTTTTAACTCTCGCGAGTCAGGACTGTATTTGTGTATTTTCCGGTAAGAATAGCCGATTTTTGAAAAATAAAATGGAAATTCCTAACTTGTGGCAGCAATGACTTGAAATATACGAGGTTGATGCCGGGGTAATTATTATAAAATAAGATTCCATCCAAGTATAGGAAAGCTGATGCGACGACTCAATTATGCGGCGATACAGGGGGGATACAAGTGCTGATTATGATAAATTATAATAAAGTTGTCGCCCTTTTGTATACGTTGTTGGATAAACTAAAATGAACGAAACAGCACCAGTTATATTAGACTTGGATTAAAGAGAGCATGCATTTGAACAATAACGCAGAAACGAGGCTCCATATGAGTGACTTGGCCCCACGGATCTCGATGCTTGCGAATAACAAGCAGCGACAAGGTTCTCACTGAAACTTCTTTACCAACAAATTTTGCTGTAGAATATGAAGCTTTATGAAAACTTTTTGTTTTGGGTACCGGTACTAAGAAACCAGCGGGAAGCACGGCGACAAAACCGCTCGAATCTTTGCCAGTTGTTTTAGGATTCTGAATTAATAAAGAAAATAGTTGAATTGATTGAATAAACCTATCATAACTACTGTAATCAAAGTGCTTTGATCATAGAATATTTAAAATTAGAAGCGAAATGGATATGCAAACTTAGTAACAGAACCAAACGAAACGCTTAAACTCGACAAGCAAGGTCCACGGGCATACCTTCCTGACAGTCCGAAATTGAATATAGTCCTAATACTACGTACACTAAAGTTAAATATCTATTAAAACAGTAAGGTATTCAACTTGGGTATCTCCAAAAAACATTTATGTGTCTAAACGACTTTGAATAAAAACTCAGGGTTCACAGCGAAAAAGATTGGAAACCCCGACGTAGGATGCGGGAGAGAGAGAGAGAGAGAGAGAGATTTATCATTTGTCAACCAGAAAAAAACTAAATACAATGGTAATAATAATAAATATAAAGCAATAGGAATAACGTTTCTTCGGTATGCACTTGAGGGAGCGATACGAACATGCGGTCTTCAAAGTCTGCTCCCACCATGTTCGCACCAATTGAAATAAGTTCACAGTAAAACTATTTATTATTATAAAGCGGTTATAAATTCTAGAATTCTGTATCTTTGGGGAATAAAAAGGAAAACATGACCAAGGGTTTTGCTTGTTCTTAAATAAGAAATATTCCTCCATTCTCTTTCATTCTCTATCCAACTTTAGCCTTCTTTCACCAATTTTACATTTGTGTAGATAAAATCGACCAGCGAGCAAAGCACAATTAGATATCATGTCAAAAAAATTCCGACACTATCCAAAAAACATTCAATCTTGGTGAAGGCAAAATAAATGACACTTTTTACATAAATCCCCTGGTTCAGTTGCTCCTAGAATATTGATGAGTAATTACATTCATACAAAAGGTGACATTCTAAACTTGCACAATACAAAAGACATATAGTTTTGAAGCTATGTAAATAAGGAAGGATATGTTATTATATACGTTGAATCACGCTGCGCTTTTGACGCCAATGTCGGTTAACCAGTCAAAGGTACTTGATTTGGGACTTGACGTTTAAAATTTGCTGAGACTCGAATTTGACAGAAGAGTCGGATGCCCCGTGACTTGATTTGAAGTTTATGGACTTGTACTCAACACATATATTTAAGTTCACGATGTGATAATAACTTTCCCTTTTGGTAAGGCAATGAGCATTGGGTAAAGTTAATAGGAAGAATTTTTCGGGGGTCAAAGGTGGGGTCCATAGAGCCAACTTGAAGCGATTTAACACGTCGAGGATGTTTTTGATTGAAAATTACGATTTTAAATTTTACAATTATTATCGTTTATTTCAATTTTGTCGAGATATTTCGTGCGTCGTCGACAATAAATCCAAAAGCAAATTGTTTCGTAATAAATTGCTTTCATCCTCAGTTCCGATAGTGACCGAACATAACGGGAATTTGTTTAATTCCTTGAAATTTAGAGCGTATAAAATAGCTCTTAAATGTTATTTAATATCTATCGCTGATTTTACCGTTATCCCGGCTTCGCTGATGACAATATCGTTCAGTTTAAGTTGATGGTATTAATTTATAATCAAAAAAAAATCATAACAGCCGAGATGAAATATTTGAAACAGTGCCGACTCGAGAAATAAAACACGATTTCCGGTCTTCATTCTCTATCATTGGCGGATGGGAATTTGGAAATATGTTGACTCATTTGATTATGACGATGATCGCGTAGTAATACCTAACATTTGCGTTTTTCTGAATCAACGAATGGTTTCGTGAGCAAAATAAAAATTAAAACCCGTGGTAGCTGCCATGCCATACCGTTCGTGTTTTATATTCGTTATTTCTCTGATTTTTCTTCTTTCCATGCGTACTTTTTCTATTTAGTATGTAGTAATCTAATTCTAACTTTGTTTGGATTTGTTACGGGTTTTAACTATTATTATAATTTATACAATTATTATGTCCAATTTTGTGGGGGCTTCGAACGGATTAGGGAATCTACAGGTAAAATGCGTCCCTACCTACGAAGGGCCTTACGGAACGAAATATATATTAATTTCGTAGGCGGGACGGTCTAAAACAGGGGTCACCAAACTACGGCCCGCGGCGTCATTTTATCCGGCCCGCAATAACACGCAAAAATGGCGAATTGTTTCCCGAGCCTCGTCTTTCTTGTTTATTTCGTAACATTGGCCAATCAGCAAGATGCAAAAAAGTGACGTAATAATAGGTCTTTTCGCATCCGCTCAGACACTTTTGTATGAATCAAACAAGTCATTCATCTTTTGCCACATGAGGAGCTGTAGTTTTAATGTTGTAGTAGTAATGAAAAATTAGTCTAGAAATAGCTGTGATAGGTCAAAATTCCATACCGGTACGCAACGCTTTCTGCGAAAGATGCACTCGTTCACTCGTGGCACGTGCTTTCG